GGCCTTAAGGGACCGTTTCTCCACTACCAGGTCCATTGCAAATGAATGGTTTGCAGAACACGGAAGACCTATTGGCATGCGAAGTGTTTACCGACGAATGAGAAGTTTTGGCTTGTTTTCATACCGGCCACACTAGGTCCTCCCTTTAACTCGATAACACCGACGTAATCGCCTTGAGTGGTGCAGACAACGGTCACTCTGGGATCAGGAATGGAACAGTATTGTCTTTAGTGACTAGTCTCGATTTTGTTTAGGCATGCACGATGGTCGTGCCAGGGTTAGAAGGCGACGTGGTGAAGGAGGAAACCACAGTTTTTTGTTGAAAGACATGTTCAACACACTGTTGGAGTTATGGTTTGGGGTGCTATAGCTTATGGTTCCAGGTCACCTTTAATCTTCATCAGAGGTAACATGAACGCGCAGCGTTATATCCACGAAGTTCTAGAACCCCATCTTTTACCCTATCTTGACACCCTGGCAGATCCAACTTTCCAACAAGATAATGTCCGACCACATGTTGCAAGAGTCACAATAGACTTCTTTCAACATAATGATGTCACATTGTTACCATGGCCACCAAGATCTCCCGACTTATCCCCAATTGAGCACGTGTGGGATATGATGGGTAGGAGATTGTTCAATTAGCAACGTCCTCCTCAGACTCTAGAAGCACTTCGAGAGGAGTTGGTGGTTGCCTAGAACCACAGGAGGACATTGACCACCTGATCAGAAGCATGCCTAGGCGCGTTGGAGAATGCGTAGCACTTCAGGGTGCATCCACACATTATTAAAGGTCAAAGGGCTTTAAAGCAGTGCAATCATTTGAAATTTTTATCATTTACTCATTATTCTTCATTAAGTACTTATACAAAATTTTATTAAAATAAAACCATTTAAACTGGGTGTTCTGATTTATATGTCACTTAGTATATAAAGAGGTAGGTCAATGTGGTTGTGGTTCTTTTGTAACTATTTTAAACAACATTAGAATTTTACCGTACTGATCTGTTCCTGGAGCTGCATTCTGTGTTCTGAATAGAACTTGTAAAATAGTAAGTTTGGAAACTATGGGGGCGTTTCCTACCGACCCAAATTGGACCTAAATCGGACGTTCCAGGAACCAAGTATCCTGTGACAACTTTGGTTATTCTCGATAATTTCAGGAACCACCCCCGGTACCCCCCCACGCAATGTCACAAAAGTCAAGTCGACCAGTCAGTAAATGACCCTAATGACCTAGACACCGAAGAAATCGATGAATTAGAGGAGAAGTTCAGGTACTTATCGGCCACCAAGGAATACCTGCCATCAGTAAAGATCCTACTGCCCGGTTACCCGAATTGGTACCGAAACTGTGCACCAAACCGGACTCGTCTCCATTGTGGATTCCAGGACCTCATCTCATCAGCACGTCGATGCAGATCACACCGAAACTGCTTTCGCTGACGTGGGAGGGTTACCCTCTTCATTACATTCGCGATCTCGGTTGGGGTTTCTTGGTACCATTTTCAGATGACTCGGAAGTAGAGAGAAAGCTGCCTCTAGCGAAATTATTGGAGAAATGCCCTTTGAGGGTCACTAAGGACGGATCGAACACTTGGGAGGCGATGCAGCAGATATCCAACTCGGTACAACAGGATCTTTCGAAAAAGCAGTACTTTGATAGGATGAAAGGGGACAAGACTGGAGGCCAGTACCAAGGTAAAGCAGCAACGGGCTTGCCACAAAAAAAGTACAGCAGACGCTCGATAATGTAAACTAATTTAATCCAAGTGTGGTTCACATTATCGAAATGTTACATTAGCGAACGTGATTTATATAATATTTGATTTATTAAAAGAAACGTTTAATACATACTATTTATAACAAAATAAACAAATATTCTAACAGCGATAAGTATTTTTTTATTAGAAGAAAAATAATTATCAATTTTTGTCTGCGTAAATTTGCGCTTAGCATTGTCTTCCAATGCCTGCGCCCGTAATTTACGAAGAACTAAAATATCCGTCTATGAAACTTCTTTTCTTTCAGCCCATCTAAAGCTTGGTTAAAAACTTGTTTAGCTTGCGCGTCAGTCACTACACTTCTGACTTCAATGGGATCGTTCTCATCATCCTCACTGTCCATATCCTCCTCCTTATCAGCATCATTCGTCTGCTTATCTTCGTTCCATAAATTAATATCAGCAGGAGTACAAACAATGTTGGGATTCACTGTTTTCAATAAATCAACAACATCCATGACACACTAATAACATTATCATTATTGGATCGCAAACGTTCTCTAATTACGCTTAAGGGGACATCGTCTTCTTCATCATCTTCATTATTGGTACAAAAGAGATTGTTCCAACATTTTTGAATAGTTTGCTGGTTAAGTTCATTCCAGGCCATATGTAAATCTAAAACAGCTTCTCGTAATGTTACTTTTTTTTAAGCCTCAGATAAGTTTTCAGGATTCTTTGATAAGACAGACGAAAGTAGAAACTTCCTATAGTATAGTTTGGTGAGTCTTATTATATTCTGGTCCATCGGTGTTACGTTGGGCGGCATGTACATGACGAAAATTGGCCCATCCCTGCTCCTCAGTTGTTGCTCGGGAGGATGACTTGGTGCATTATCCAATAGTAACAACGCTTTTATTGGAAGCTTCTGTTGTTTCAGGAAACCTTTTACCTACAAATTGAAAACACATCTTCAAATTATGAATAGAGCATTTGTGATAATTGATTGTCATACCTGAGGGACAAAGCTCCTGTGGAACCATTTCAGGAATATACTGCTAGTCATCCAAGCGGTTTTTGAACAGTCATAATCAACAGGGATATTAACATTTTTAAATGAGGCGGCGGATTTTTTGCTTTCCCCAATTACCAGTGACTTTATTTTGTGTGAACCATTAGCATTAGTGCAGGCTGGAAACGTTATTCGTTGTTTTCTCCGGCTTTCTTCCCGGGGCAGATTTTTCAAATGATGCAGCATAGGTTTTCTCTGGTAACATTTTCCAATAAAGGCCACTTTCATCTGCGTTGTAAATTTGTTCCATTCTTGAATCTAGCTCGGTAATTGTTTTCATCAATTTTTCTTTGAATGGTTGCACTAATTGTGGTTGTGCTGATAATTTTTCACCAGATATAGACAGCAGTCGAATTCCATATCTTGTTTTGAATCGTTGTAGGCAGCCATCACTAGCTACGAAATTTTCAGTTTCTTTCAGTTTTTCATTTGACAGTCTCGCTCTCTGTTTAAGTACTTCGCCACTAACTGGGACATAAGTTTCCCGTTGTTTTAAAAACCACCTATACAGGGAATTTTCCATTTTAGGTGCCTGCGCATTTTTAAAGTTTTTCTTTTTCCCGGACCTCCAAATGTATTGCACGTTCTTTGTAAAATTTGAGTTTTCATACGCTTAATTTTACAGATTGTTGCTTTCGATACTCCATATTCTTTTGCTAACTGTGTCACTCCCGCACCTAGTGCAACTTCGTCTATGATTTTCACTTTCTCACTCAACTTTAAACACACTCTTTTATAGGATGTGGATGCCATAGTCGTAAAATATATTAACGCGTGCAATGTATTCACTTAAGTTCAAAAATGAAATACATACGTACGTATAAACGTATCCTAAACGATCATACGACTGACCGAGTTTGTCGTATTTTATCGCAGAGGTGAATCCCCTACACTCTACATCATAAATCGGGGACTCCCGACGCCCGACATAAATCATCGAGGCTTCAGCATTTTACCGTCGCGCTGTTTGCGTGCGCCGAGAGTTGTTTACGTTATCGAGCGTACACATTGTTTACGTTATCGCGCGTTCCGCTTGATCCTATAGAACGAAGCTTATGTTTATATTAGCGCAAGTTTCATTATCCCGTGTTTACGTTATCGAGCGTCTGCTGTATTCACTAAAAGAAAAAACGTGGAAAATATTTTCAAATTTCTGAAATGTCCGCTAGGGGGCGTAACTGCAATCTGGGATCTAAAAAAGTGATGTTTCTGTGAATTTCGCTATATTAACATAACAAAAAAAAAATAACTGACCTTTAAATTCGAGGATAATCTGAACCTTTTTGTTTGACAATTTTTGCTGTTGCTATAAAAATAAAGTGGTGGGGGATACTCAAAGGTTTCTGTTAAAAACACCCTTTATCTTCGAAACGGCTCAGCCGATTTTAACAAACTTGGGATACTTGAAAAGAGCTATTCTGTTATAATATTTGAAGTTTTGTTGGTTTCACATGTGGCCGCTAGAGGGCTTTTTTTTCGACATTCCGACAAATGGTTAATTTAATCAACAAATTATGGGGTTGTCCAAAACCGACGCAGGAAAGTAAACGCATATTAAAACAAGAAGGATTGATATTCAAATCAAGTTGGGTACTTTATTTTGAAGGTTCATTTATACCATTTATGTATGAAAAATAATATCGCTGGAATGTTCACCACGACTGGATTTACAGATTTTCAGAATTTTCAATGACATTTTGCAATATGGTCGGTTCTATGGCATTTATCTCGGCAATGATGTTGTTTTTGAGTGCTTGGAGGGTGGCTGGTTTGTTGACGTAGACCTTTCTTTTCAAATATCTCCATAAAAAGGAGTCCAAGGGAGTCAAATCGCACGATCTTGGTGGCCATGGCACATTTCCTCTGCGCGAAATCACGCGATCACCGAAGAAGGACTGCAATCGCTGGATATTGACGTTGGTTGTGTGGCATGTTGCACCGTCTTGTTGGAAATAAACATCGTCCATATCCATTCCTTCAAGTTGCGGCAAAAAATAGTCCTCTATCATCACGTGATATCGCTCAGAATTGACGGTAACGGCGTCCCCGGCCGCATTTTCGAAAAAGTAAGGTCCGATGATGCCTTTTGACCACAATGCACACCACACAGTCACTTTTTGAGGATGCATCGGCTGCTCTTGATACTCACGGGGATTTTCGTTCGCCCAGATGCGGCAGTTTTGCTTGTTTACCCGTCCCATTCAAAGTGAAATGCGCTTCGTCGCTGAACATGATTTTTGATGAAAAATTGGCATCAATTTGGCGGTGTTCAAGGAGCCAATCTGAGAACGTTCGGCGCGAAAAATGGTCGGCCCGACGCAGCTCTTGCGTCAATTGGATCTTGTAGGCGTGTACATTCAAATCCTTGTTGAGAATGCGGAGGAAACTGGTTCTCGAAATGCCTAATTCTTGGGATCGACGCGTTGTTGATTGTTTCGGATCGTCTCTCACACTCTCCTTCACAACAGCAATATTTTCCGGTGTGCGAACGCTCCTTGGCCGGCCAGAGCCTGCCAGATTTGCCACAGAACCTGTTGCCTCGAATTTACGCACCAGACGACCGATGGTTGTTTCGTTTTGGCGGTTGTTGCGACCGAAATGTTCACGAAGCGCGCGAAACGTGTTTTTTATTTTTGCACCATTTTTGTAGTGCTCTTGAATAACTTTAATGCGGTCTTCAATCGAATACGACTCCATAGCGATCAATGGTAAACATTCAACTAACAAAATGACATGTCGGTGACAGAAAACAAAGATGGCGTCTATGTCAAATTGACGTTTACTTTCCTGCGTCCCTATTGGACAACCCTTTAGTTAAACGATGTCTAAACCGCATCAATTTAGGCCAAAGAACATTTTGTACGGAAATCCCTTAAATTTTTATATTTTTTCACTAATTTTTCTGGAATAAAATCACCCTTTTTGATTACAAAATATCGCTACAAGGTAAGTAAGTAATGCTAGTAACAAAAGGCATATTTTTCATAGGTACTGGAATTTGGTGCAATACCGTAATAGAAGATTGTTGTTGGTTTTTCAAACTACCTCACAAAGACGGACCATCTCGAAATGTAGGAAATCCGTTGGCTAAAGATTATCTGACCAAATTTCCGACAACGTTTTGGCTGGCGATACGGAGAGTGCGGAACAAGTTCTGTCAATTGCTAGAAAACTATCTTATTGGAGAAATAATAGAGCTCGAATTATGGACCAGATGGTTGTGTGGTTGAACAAGCAGGATTTGCCCAAGGAGCTGCAAGAATCTACGGGTTTGTGTATAAATAATAATACCGCGCATCATTAACTTAAGTTCTTCCTTGACTTTATCCAACATCAAAACTATCAAACGTTACAAATTTAACCACAAACCATAAACGTGCCATCTAATTTTCCATCTTCCAGACAATTTTGGTGCGATCATACCCCAAGTGGTAGTTTGTGGTACACTTACTCGAAGAGCTGTAGAATCCACATGGATGACAGCTTCAAACGCACACCCGGAAAGAATTGGATCTGAGCTCAGAGCGATGGTTCAGGCTCCTCCTGGTTATAACATCGTGGGTGCCGATGTCGATTCGCAAGAGCTGTGGATAGCTTCTGTAATAGGTAAGAATCCCAGTGGCGGGCTTAGGAATTTCTGTAGGTGGTTCCAGACTCAGGATTCGTGATCAGGAAGATACAGGGCGAGAGTGGTGGGGAGAGTGCCGTTCCTAGCATTTTTACCAGTAGACATTATGCAGCAGTGGACAGTTGAGCACCGCGTTTTAAAACGGGTCACCGTGTATAAAGCGACACAAATTTGTTTTAGGGGATTCCCGCCATGCGGCGATGCACGGCTGCACACCGTTGGGATGGATGACGTTAAGCGGAAACAAATCTGAAGGGACGGACATGCACAGCGTCACCGCAAAGGCAGTCGGCATCAGCAGAGACCACGCCAAGGTCATCAACTACGCTAGAATCTACGGTGCCGGCCAGAATTTCGCCGAAAGGTTACTGAAACAGTTCAATCCGACCATGTCCGAGACCGAAGCGAGAAGCAAAGCGCGGAAAATGTTCGACATGACCAAGGGAAAGAAGTTTTATTATCTGACGCGGGAGTATGTACATGAATTTGGCGATCATCCGTTCACGAAATGGCAAGCTATGGAACTGGCCAAGGCGCACGGGAAAAAAGTGTCGGAGATGTTTGAGACGTCAAAGTGGGTCGGAGGCACCGAGTCCGCCATGTTCAACAGGCTGGAAGAGATTGCGAACAGCGACAGGCCTACCACTCCATTTTTAGGTAATGTGTATTAATTATTTTTGTAAATATACTAAGTGACATATAAATCCGAACACCCAGTTTAAATGGTTTTATTTTAATAAAAGTTGGTGAGTGTATTTATCTTACTGTAAATAACAAATGAAAAAATTTTCAGCCTTATCAGTTGGTTTTTATACTGCTTTTTTTTAATTCACTAATTCTCTAAAAATTAATATTTCAGCCGCAGTAAAGAATCAACGTTGCCGGATTTTGGTTCTTGACATCCTTTACGATCGGTTACGATGCCTAGAGTACGGAGACCTGTACGATTTCGTCAACTTAGTGAGTTTGATAGGGGCCGTATAGTGGGACTTCGGGAAGCTGGACTTTCTTTTCGGGCAATTGCAGTTAGAGTGCAAAGAAGTGTAGACACTGTGGTTAGGTGTTGTCAGGCATGGCTTCGAGAAGGCCGTACGCAAAGAGCAAGGGGCACTGGACGCCGCCGTAGAACAACAGACCGTGAAGATCGCCGCCTAAGATTATTGGCCTTAAGGGACCGTTTCTCCACTACCAGGTCCATTGCAAATGAATGGTTTGCAGAACACGGAAGACCTATTGGCATGCCAAGTGTTTACCGACAAATGAGAAGTTTTGGCTTGTTTTCATACCGGCCACACTGGGTCCTCCCTTTAACTCGAGAACACCGACGTAATCGCCTTGAGTGGTGCAGACAACGGTCACTCTGGGATCAGGAATGGAACAGTATTGTCTTTAGTGACGAGTCTCGATTTTGTTTAGGCATGCACGATGGTCGTGCCAGGGGTAGAAGGCGACGTGGTGAAAGGAGGAATCCACAGTTTTTTGTTGAAAGACATGTTCATCACACTGTTGGAGTTATGGTTTGGGGTGCTATACCTTATGGTTCTAGGTCACCTTTAATCTTCATCAGAGGTAACATGAACGCGCAGCGTTATATCCACGAAGTTCTAGAACCCCATCTTTTACCCTATCTTGACACCCTGGCAGATCCAACTTTCCAACAAGATAATGCTCGACCACATGTTGCAAGAGTCACAATAGACTTCTTTCAACATAATGATGTCACATTGTTACCATGGCCACCAAGATCTCCCGACTTATCCCCAATTGAGCACGTGTGGGATATGATGGGTAGGAGATTGCTTAATTTGCAACGTCCTCCTCAGACTCTAGAAGCACTTCGAGAGGAGTTGGTGGTTGCCTGGAATGAGATACCACAGGAGGACATTGACCACCTGATCAGAAGCATGCCTAGGCGCGTTGGAGAATGCGTAGCACATCAGGGTGCATCCACACATTATTAAAGGTCAAAGGGCTTTAAAGTAGTGCAATCATTTTGAAATTTTTATCATTTACTTATTATGCTTCATTAAGTACTTATACAAAATTTTATTAAAATAAAACCATTTAAACTGGGTGTTCGGATTTATATGTCACTTAGTATACATACTAGTGCGGTCCGATATATGGTGCCACTGACGCAAGAGAAATGTACTATCGTGTAGGACATTCTTGTAGATAGCTACTATCAAACTTTCAGTCGAATCGGCTACGTAGTTTTGCTTTGGCCGCGAGTAGAAGCGGGCGTCCGCGGATTTTAGAAAAATGGAAAAAGAGTAATATCTATTCGTGAAGAGTGTATACAGGAGGTTTTGAAAGATTTGAATTATCTTTTTAGGAACAATAGGCTACTTGACTATCTAATTTCGTAGAATAAATGAGAAATTATTACAGTATTTGTATTAGGAAAACGAAATATATCAATTTCAATTTTTTTACGAGCAAAATGGATATACAGTAATGGACAAAAGTATATAGACAAATTAATATTGTGATGTTTTTCTTTTTTTAACTTGTTTCATTAATACACCAAGCTGTGTACATAATTCGTTATAGCATAATACTCACTTATACATAAATAAATTCATTAGAATCCCTTCAAGAAAAAAATAATTGTAAAAAAGTGGAACTATGAAGGATAAAAATATATAGACAAAGCAAAACAGTTATAGAAAAAGGAAGCAAAGTTCATTGAATTATATAAAATATTTTGTAGCATGACCATTATTATCAATCACCGCCTGGCATCGTCTCGGCATAGATTGTAGAAGTTTCTTCATATAAAATTCATAAATCTGTCTCCACTTTTGCTCTAAAGCGGCAAAAAGTTCATCCTTGTTTAAATAATTTGTATCTCGTATTTGCTTATCTAAGTATTCCCATAGATTTTCACTGGGGTTTATATCGGGAGACTGTGAAGGCCATTTGAGAACTGTTTTTTTTTCATCCAGAAACAATTTTTTTGCGAGATTTGAAGTGTGCTTCGGGTCATTATCTTGCTGGAAGATTGATCTTAAGGGCATATTGTCTTCCATATGGGGTAACATGACATGCTTTAGTATGTCTGTGTATACAAACTTATCCATAATGCCATCTATTCTATGTAAAGGTCCCATCCCAAACCCCGAAAAGCATAACAGACCCGCTTCCATGCTTGACAGTGGGCAAAGTGTACTTGGGGTTCAATTTTTGTCCACTAGGATGTCTACCGTAACGAACACCATCTGATCCAAACATATTGAACATGGATTCGTCACTGAAACATACCCTCTTCCAGTCACAGATGCTCCTATCAAGATGCAACCATGCAAATTGCAATCGGTCCTTACGGTTTTTTCTCGAGGTCATTTAATCTTCTACTTTGACAATTCCTTTTATCTCGATTTCGGCTTTTATTTGTCTTGGGGCTTTAAACGGATCTTTGGACGGAATTACTTTTATTAATCTAACCGATCTAGCACTTCTCTTAGAGGCTTCCAAGATACCTTTTTGTTTATATCTGTTCAATATTGCCCAAACTGCTTTACGCTTCAGCTTCGAATTTTTGGCAATGTCATATTGACGTTGACCATCTTTGTATAACTCAATGATCTCAGTTTTCACATCGAAATAAATTTATGGACCACGCGGCATGGTCTTAAAATCACTCAACTTATTCCACAAACGAATCCTCTTCTGACACGAAACTGTACTAAACTAATGTTGAAAAGAATTTGTCTACATATTTTTGTCCCTCATAAAAAAGTGCTTATATTCAGACTGCATTGCAGATAATGTACAAACAAGGAATTTAGTTTTTCTACTAATAACGCATTTGTTTATGGAGCAATGAAGTATGAATTCGTTTTCTAAAGGTATTTAGGTAAAAATTCAGTCTATATACTTTTGTTTATTACTGTATGTCCATTTTAAAAATATATATTTTTTTATTTTTAATACGAAACGCCATAGAAATTGTAAACAAAGAAACGTCATGCGTATTGTTTTTTACTGCCTTTATTTTGAACATCCGGTGTTACAAATACGATATTTGAGTACAATGGGTACTATAAAAATTTTGCAATATGACTTAACAAACGGACGCAGGAGGCTCCATGTTATGAGGCAGTTTAAAGCATCCCACAAACCGGCGCGAAATATTCGCTTTGGCTGCGAAAATTTCGCGGCGATGAATTCGCGATCAGATTAAAACGCGGCGGTTTACGGACAGGCTCAGACTTGTGCGAAGCGAATGCGATTGTTCCAGCGTTTTTATCGCGGCGTATTTCAGTTCGCCTTTGGCCGCGTTTTTGACGCCGTTCTTCAAAAATTCGCAATGGCAAAAACGGAATTATTGATAGAAATAGTGAAAAAGTATCCTTGTTTGTATGATTTGTCGAACGATGAATACAGGAATGTGAGAAAGAAAGACAAGATTTGGATCGAAATAGGAAAAGAATTAAATACAAATGGTATGTACCTAATATTTTTTATTGACTTGTTAAATAATTTACAGTCTACACAAATGTGAAAACGAACATTCTATATATTGGGCATAGGCATATCAGAATTAAAATAATTTACGAATTTGTCACGAGTAGAAAATGCTAGCCTTGCTGCCCGCCGAGGATCATTTGCTATATCAGTAAAAGCTCCAAGCACGGGTTCTGGGGGATCTAAGAATTGAAAATATTTGTCATCGCCACTTTTACTTCGTAAAAAATTGTGTAAAACACATGCCGTACGTACAATTAGAATAGTAGTATCTACTTTAGTTTCTAATGGCCTGTAAAATATTCGCCATTTTTGAGACAAAATACCAAACGCATTTTCCACGACCCTTCTAGCTCGACAAAGTCTTACATTGTATCTCTCTTTTCTGACGTCTGTTAAAGTCTGCTTATAAGAAAATGGTCTCATAAGGTATGATTTTAAAGCAAATGCTTCATCACCAATTAAGACGTACGAGCAGATTTCATTTTGCCCAGGGAGAAATCTAGGTGCAGGGACACTCATTAAATTTTGTTCAAATCGTTTTCCCATGTTTGAGGTTTCGAAAATACCCCCATCACTATTTTTTCCGAAACCACCAATATCAACACATATAAATTTATAGTCCGGGCCAACAATGGTCATAAGTACTATTGAATATTTATGTAAATAGCACCAGTAATTGGAGCCACTGTTGTTAGGTCTCTTGATTGTTGCATGTTTACCGTCCACGCTGCCAATGCAATTGGGAAATCCACATCTATATAAATTCTTCAGCACATTTTTTCCATATATTCTCTGTTGGTTCTGGTAAATATATATGCTCCATATATCTGCATATCGCTTCATAGACTTCGGTTACGATTGCACTCACTGTTGTAAAGCCAACTCGAAAGCTATGCCCAATGGTATAGAAGGTGTCACCAGTGGCAAGGAATCTATAAAAAAAATCGTTTTTATATGATGAAGTAAAAAAAAAGGTGGAAGAATATCAGAGACACATTTGCAAAATATATAAAATCTACCAAACTAAAGACCGGCCAAGCAGTGGGCAACATAAAGAAATGGCAGTGGGCTGACTACATGGAATTTTTCCGTCCTTTTTTGGCATTTGCCAAAACGTCGTCTAATGTGAAAGATATTGACGTCATACATTATGAGACTGCCGAATTTAACTCAAATATATATCAAGAAAGGGCTGGAAATGTAGAAACCGAAAATTTGGAAGACCGCGGCCATGGAGAAGATGAAAATGCTGATGTAGATGCAGAAGATGCACAGAACGCCTTGACAACACAGACAGCACCACCTTCTTCATTGAACACTACAGCAGTGACTACTCCAGGGCACACCTTTCCGCAGACTGCAACTACACCAAAATATAAAACGAGCAGAAAACGCTATGAACCACGATCTTCGTCTGTACAACAGCTCATTAATTATTTTGAAGGTAAAAAACCTAAAAAAGAGAATGAGGCCATTGATTCACTTTTCTTGGCACATGCACAGACTGTGAAAACACTTCCCTTAAAGCGTCAAGCCCGAATAAAACTAAAAATAGCCGAATTAATAGCGCACGAAGAATTTGAACATATTGAAATGTCTTCAGCGTTTACCCAGAATTCTAAAAGTATGTATGATAGTAGTATGTCGTCCTTCCCAAGCGGCATGGGTTTACTTCAATAATATACCCAACAGAGGAGGCAAATTCTGCCTCGAATTATTTAGCAACATTTAATCCTAGTGGCAACATGTAGTCCAATTATTACAATAAAATATTTATTTCACGATCCCTGAAGTTTTCGTATTCGATAAGCCTACTAATTTTAATACATATAATTTTTTTACCTGAGTGTAATAGCAAGTCGTTCTTCTGGCGAAATAACTTCACGATAATTTGTGTCAGATTTTCGTATTTCATCTTTCACCAAGTTCAATATTTCATCGAAACACTCTGGAGTCATTCTAAAATATACGTAAAAGCGCTGTTCATCCAGCCGAAGTTGTGGCATCAAGGTATGGTATTCCCCAAATTTATTTCGTTCCAAGTTAATATCATGTACCCACTTCCTTCGTTTCCTAAACAAAATTGAAAATATTTGTTTTATGTACTTCGTTAAACTTAATACATACCCAACTATCAAATGGCGTTAAATAAACATAACTTACCGTGCATTTTGTTCCTCTTCTAAAGCAAGAAATAGAAGTGCCTCCTCTTCTTCTGAAGACGAGCTCATTGCAAAAGGCAAAAATAAAATGTACGCAACCTGTCGAAACCTTCACGTTCGCGAAGCGAATAAGACGCTTTGGTATGAATAAACAGGCGAAACAGATTGCGAATTTCGCTCTGAATTTCGTTGCGAATACTTCGCCGCGATTATTTCGCGCCGGTTTGAGGGATGCTTCATGGTATAACCTTACGCGTGGTTTAAGCATAGACCAGTGCGTAGAAGAAGGAGACCTTACACCTTCATGCATCAGCAATTCTGCATGACCATTTACACGCGAGGAAACCTTGTTCCCTCTGGATACCGCACAGTCTTACGGAAGAGCAGAAGACTCGTCGTATGACTTGGTGACGAAAGATGCTGAAAATGTTTGATAAGCGTCAATCTCGGCATGTGAACAGCATCGTGACAGATGACGAGACTTGGCTCTATTACCGCGATGTGCCGACCAAGGCTCAAAACAAAGTTTGGGTCTTTGATCATGAGGACACACGCGTAGCTGTCTGAAAATCCCGATCTGTTAAGAAAAAAATAGCTATATTTTTTAAATCGACCGAGATTGTGGAGCGTGTCGTTTTGGACACACAAAATACCGTCACTGCTAAGTGGCAGCCTGCACCGAGTATTTGACCGCTGCTGGACTGAAACTTATTGAGCATCCTCCTTAAAGTCCAGATCTTGCTCCCTGCACCTTTGCACTGTTTCCGCAAGTGAAAATGAAGCTAAAAGGAAAACGATTTTCGAGCGATGAGGACCTTGGGACACACTCCCGGGTGAAACTTGGCAGAGTTGGTTTAAGGACTGCGTTTGGCGGATGGAGAGTGTATTGAATGTGGTGAAAATTACTTTGAACGAAGGTGTATTGCCAAACTTTTATATGGGGTTGTCCAAAATGGACGCAGGAAAGTAAACGCATATTAAAACAAGATAGATTGATATTCAAATCAAGTTGGGTACTTTATTTTGAAGGTTCATTTATACGATTTATGTATGAAAAATAATATCGCTCAAATGTTCACCACGACTGGATTTACAGACGTCCACGCGATGGTCGAAATTTTCAATGACATTTTGCAACATGGTCGGTTCTATGGCATTTATCTCGGCAGTGATGTTGTTTTTGAGTTCTTTGACTGTGGCTGGTTTGTTGACGTAGACTTTGCTTTTCAAATATCCCCATAAAAAGAAGTCCAAGGGAGTCAAATCGCACGATCTTGGTGGCCATGGCACATTTCCTCTGCGCGAAATCACGCGATCACCGAAGAAGGACTGCAATCGATGGATATTGACGTTGGTTGTGTGGCATGTTGCACCGTCTTGTTGGAAATAAACATCGTCCATATCCATTCCTTCATGTTGCGGCAAAAAATAGTCCTCTATCATCACGTGATATCGCTCAGAATTGACGGTAACGGCGTCCCCGGCCGCATTTTCGAAAATGTAAGGTCCGATGATGCCTTTTGACCACAATGCACACCACACAGTCACTTTTTGAGGATGCATCGGTTGCTCTTGATACTTACGGGGATTTTCGTTCGCCCAGATGCGGCAGTTTTGCTGGTTTACCGTCCCATTCAAAGTGAAATGCGCTTCGTCGCTGAACATGATATTTGATGAAAAATTGGCATCAATTTGGCGGTGTTCAAGGAGCCAATCTGAGAACGTTCGGCGCGAAAAATGGTCGGCCCGACGCAGCTCTTGCGTCAATTGGATCTTGTAGGCGTGTACATTCAAATCCTTGTGGAGAATGCGGAGCAAACTGGTTCTCGAAATGCCCAATTCCTGGGATCGACGCGTTGTTGATTGTTTCGGATCATCTCTCACACTCTCCTTCACAACAGCAATATTTTCCGGTGTGCGAACGCTCCTTGGCCGGCCAGAGCCTGGCAGATTTGCCACAGAACCTGTTGCCTCGAATTTACGCACCAGACGACCGATGATTGTTTCGTTTGGGCGGTTGTTGCGACCGAAATGTTCACGAAGCGCGCGAAACGTGTTTTTTATTTTTGCACCATTTTTGTAGTGCTCTTGAATAACTTTAATGCGGTCTTCAATCGAATACGACTCCATAGCGATCAATGGTAAACATTCAACTAACAAAATGACATGTCGGTGACAGAAAACAAAGATGGCGTCTATGTCAAATTGACCTTTACTTTCCTGCGTCCCTATTGGACAACCCTTTAGTTAAATGATGTCTAAACCGCATCAATTTAGGCCAAAGAACATTTTGTAAGGAAATCCCTTAAATTTTTTCTGGAATAAAATCTCCCTTTTTGATTACAAAATATCGCTACAAGGTAAGTAAGTAATGCTAGTAACAAAAGGCATATTTTTCATAGGTACTGGAATTTGGTGCAATACCGTAATAGAAGATTGTTGTTGGTTTTTCAAACTACCTCACAAAGACGGACCATCTCGAAATGTAGGAAATCCGTTGGCTAAAGATTATCTGACCAAATTTTCCGACAACGTTTTGGCTGGCGATACGGAGAGTGCGGAACAAGTTCTGTCAATTGCTAGAAAACTATCTTATTGGAGAAATAATAGAGCTCGAATTATGGACCAGATGGTTGTGTGGCTGAACAAGCAGGATTTGCCCATGGAGCTGCACGAATCTACGGGTTTGTGTATAAATAATAATACCGCGCATCATCAACTTAAGTTCTTCCTTGACTTTATCTAACATCAAAACAACCAAACGTTACAAATTTAACCACAAACCATAAACGTGCCATCTAATTTTCCATCTTCCAGACAATTTTGGTGCGATCATACCCCAAGTGGTAGTTTGTGGTACACTTACTCGAAGAGCTGTAGAATCCACGTGGATGACAGCTTCAAACGCACACCCAGAAAGAATTGGATCGGAGCTCAGAGCGATGGTTCAGGCTCCTCCTGGTTATAACATCGTGGGTGCCGATGTCGATTCGCAAGAGCTGTGGATAGCTTCTGTAATAGGTAAGAATCCCAGTGGCGGGCTTAGGAATTTCTGTAGGTGGTTCCAGACTCAGGATTCGTGATCAGGAAGATACAGGGCACAAAGGATGGATGTTTTTGAAATGGCTAGTACTCTCCGCCTAACCGGGTGGGAGTGCCGTTGGACTCGGCCGTTCCTAGCATTTTTACCAGTAGACATTATGCAGCAGTGGACAGTTGAGCACCGCGTTTTAAAACGGGTCACCGTGTACAAAGCGACACAAATTTGTTTTAGGGGATTCCCGCCATGCGGCGATGCACGGCTGCACACCGTTGGGATGGATGACGTTAAGCGGAAACAAAACCGAAGGCACGGACATGCACAGCGTTACCGCAAAGGCAGTCGGCATCAGCAGAGACCATGCCAAGGTCATCAACTACGCTAGAATCTACGGTGCCGGCCAGAATTTCGCCGAAAGGTTACTGAAACAGTTCAATCCGACCATGTCGGAGACCGAAGCGAGAAGCAAAGCGCGGAAAATGTTCGACATGACCAAGGGAAAGAAGTTTTATTATCTGACGCGGGAGTATGTACATGAATTTGGCGATCATCCGTTCACGAAATGGCAAGCTATGGAACTGGCCAAGGCGCACGGGAAAAAAGTGTCGGAGATGTTTGAAACGTCAAAGTGGGTCGGAGGCACCGAATCCGCCATGTTCAACAGACTGGAAGAGATTGCGAACAGCGACAGGCCTACCACTCCATTTTTAGGTAATATGTATTAATTATTTTTGTAAATATACTAAGTGACATATAAATCCGAACACCCAGTTTAAATGGTTTTATTTTAATAAAAGTTGGTGAATGTATTTATCTTACTGTAAATAACAAGTGAACAAATTTTCAGCCTTATCAGTTGGACATTCCCGTTTTTATACTGCTTTTTTAATTCACTAACGCTCTAAAAATGAATATATCAGCCGCAGTAAAGAATCAACGTTGGCGGATTTTGGTTCTTGACATCCTTTACGATCGGTTACGATGCCTAGAGTACGGAGACCTGTACGATTTCGTCAACTTAGTGAGTTTGATAGGGGCCGTATAGTGGGACTTCGGGAAGCTGGACTTTCTTTTCGGGCAATTGCAGTTAGAGTGCAAAGAAGTGTAGACACTGTGGTTAGGTGTTGTCAGGCATGGCTTTGAGAAGGCCGTACGCAAAGAGCAAGGAGCACTGGACGCCGCCGTAGAACAACAGACCGTGAAGATCGCCGCCTAAGATTATTGGCTTTAAGGGACCGTTTCTCCACTACCAGGTCCATTGCAAATGAATGGTTTGCAGAACACGGAAGACCTATTGGCATGCGAAGTGTTTACCGACGAATGAGAAGTTTTGGCCACACTGGGTCCTCCCTTTAACTCGAGAACACCGACGTAATCGCCTTGACTGGTGCAGACAACGGTCACTCTGGGATCAGGAATGGAACAGTATTGTCTTTAGTGACGAGTCTCGATTTTGTTTAGGCATGCACGATGGTCGTGCCAGGGTTAGAAGGCGACGTGGTGAAAGGAGGAATCCACAGTTTTTTGTTGAAAGACATGTTCATCACACTGTTGGAGTTATGGTTTGGGGTGCTATAGCTTATGGTTCCAGGTCACCTTTAATCTTCATCAGAGGTAACATGAACGCGCAGCGTTATATCCACGAAGTTCTAGAACCCCATCTTTTACCCTATCTTGACACCCTGGCAGATCCAACTTTCCAACAAGATAATGCCCGACCACATGTTGCAAAGGTCACAATAGACTTCTTTCAACATAATGATGTCACATTGTTACCATGGCCACCAAGATCTCCCGACTTATCCCCAATTGAGCACGTGTGGGATATGATGGGTAGGAGATTGCTCAATTTGCAACGTCCTCCTCAGACTCTAGAAGCACTTCGAGAGGAGTTGGTGGTTGCCTGGAATGAGATACCACAGAAGGATATTGAAAACCTGATCAGAAGCATGCCTAGGCGCGTTGGAGAATGCGTAGCACATCAGTGTGCATCCACACATTATTAAAGGTCAAAGGGCTTTAAAGCAGTGCAATCATTTTGAAATTTTTATCATTTACTTATTATGCTTCATTAAGTACTTATACAAAATTTTATTAAAATGAAACCATTTAAACTGGGTGTTCGGATTTATATGTCACTTAGTATACATACTAGGGCGGTCCGATATATGGTTCCACTGACGCAAGAGAAATTTACTATCGTGTAGGACATTCTTGTAGACAGCTACTATCAAACTTTCAGTCGAATCGGCTACGTAGTTTCGCTTTGGCCGCGCGTAGAAGCGGGCGTCCGCGGATTTTAGAAAAATGGAAAAAGAGCAATATCTATTCGTGAAGAGTGTATACAGGAGGTTTTGAAAGATTTGAATTATCTTTTTAGGAACAATAGGCTACTTGACTATCTAATTTCGTAGAATAAATGAGAATTTCTTACAGTATTTGTCTTAGGAAAACGAAATATAACAATTTCAATTTTTTTACGAGCAAAATGGATATACAGTATTGGACATATATAGACAAATTGATATTGTGCTGTTTTTCTTTTTTTAATTTGTTTTATTAATACACCAAGCTGTGTACATAATTCGTTATACATAAATAAATTCATTAGACTCCCTTCAATAAAAAAATAATTGTAAAAAAACTGGAACTATGAAGGACAAAAATATATAGACAAAGCAAAACAATTATAGAAAAAGGAAGCAAAGTTCATTGAATTATATAAAACCAACCATGATTGTGTTAATATTTTGTAGCATGACCATTATTATCAATCACCGCCTGGCATCGTCTCGGCATAGATTGTAGAAGTTTCTTCATATAAAATTCATAAATCTGTCTCCACTTTTGCTCTAAAGCGGCAAACAGTTCATCGTTGTTTGAATAATTTTTATCTCGTATTTGCTTATCTAAGTATTCCCATAGATTTTCAATGGGGTTTATATCGGGAGACTGTGAAGGTCATTTGAGAACTGGTATTTTTTCATCCAGAAAGAATTTCTTTGCGGGATTTGAAGTGTGCTTCGGGTCATTATCTTGCTGCAAGATTGATCTTAAGGGCATATTGTCTTCCATATAGGGTAACATGACATGCTTTAGTATGTCTGTGTATACAAACTTATCCATAATGCCATCTATTCTATGTAAAGGTCCCATCCCAAACCCCGAAAAGCATAACAGACCCGCTTCCATGCTTGACAGTGGGCAAAGTGTACTTGGGGTTCAATTTTTGTCCACTAGGATGTCTACCGTAATGAACACCATCTGATCCAAACATATTGAACATGGATTCGTCACTGAAACATACCCTCTTCCAGTCACAGATGCTCCTATCAAGATGCAACCATGCAAATTGCAATCGGTCCTTACGGTTTTTCCTCGAGGTCATTTAATCTTCTACTTTGACAATTCCGTTTATCTCGATTTCGGCTTTTGTTTGTCTTGGGGCTTTAAACGGATCTTTGGACGAAATTACTTTTATTAATCTAACTGATCTAGCATTTAGTTTTCTAGGGCGACCACTTCTCTTAGAGGCTTCCAAGATACCTTTTTGTTTATATCTGTTCAATATTGCCCAAACTGCTTTATGCTTCAGCTTCAAATTTTTCGCAATGTCGAATTGACGTTGACCATCAATGATCTTAGTTTTCACATCGAAATAAATTTCTGGACCACGCGGCATGGTCTTAAAATCACTCAACTTATTCCACAATACTTGATGAACACAAACTAATCCTCTTCTGACACGAAACTGTACTAAACTAATCTTGAAAAGAATTTGTCTACATATTTTTGTCCCTCATAAAAATCATAAAAAAGTGCTTATATTCAGACTGCATTGCAGATAATGTAAAAACAAGGAATTTAGTTTTTCTATTAATAACGCATTTGTTTATGGAGCAATGAAGTATGAATTCGTTTTCTAAAGGTATTTAGGTAAATATTCAGTCTATATATTTTTGTCCATTACTGTATGTCCATTTTAAAAATATATATTTTTTTATTTTTAATACGAAACGCCATAGAAATTGTAAACAAAGAAACGTCATGCGTATTGTTTTTTACTGCCTTTATTTTGAACATCCGGTGTTACAAATACGATATTTGAGTACAATGGGTACTATAAAAATTTTGCAATATGACTTAACAAACGGACGCAGGAGGCTCCATGTTATGAGGCAGTTTTAAGCATCCCACAAACCGGCGCGAAATATTCGCTTTGGCTGCGAAAATTTCGCGGCGATGAATTCGCGATCAGATTAAAACGCGCCGGTTTACGGACAGGCTCAGACTTGTGCGAAGCGAATGCGATTGTTCCAGCGTTTTTATCGCGGCGTATTTCAGTTCGCCTTTGGCCGCGTTTTTGACGCCGTTATTCAAAAATTCGCAATGGTAAAAACGGAATTAAGCATCCCACAAACCGGCGCGAAATAATCGCGGCGAAGTATTCGCAACGAAATTCAGAGCGAAATTCGCAATCTGTTTCGCCTGTTTATTCATACCAAAGCGTCTTATTCGCTCCGCGAACGTGAAGGTTTCGACAGGTTGCGTACATTTTATTTTTGCCTTTTGCAATGAGCTCGTCTTCAGAAGAAGAGGAGGCACTTCTATTTCTTGCTTTAGAAGAGGAACAAAATGCACGGTAAGTTATGTTTATTTAACGCCATTTGATAGTTGGGTATGTATTAAGTTTAACGAAGTACAAAAAACAAATATTTTCAATTTTGTTTAGGAAACGAAGGAAGTGGGTACATGATATTAACTTGGAACGAAATAAATTTGTGGAATACCATACCTTGATGCCACAACTTCGGCTGGATGAACAGCGCTTTTTACGTATATTTTAGAATGACTCCAGAGTGTTTCGATGAAATATTGAACTTGGTGAAAGATGAAATACGAAAATCTGACACAAATTATCGTGAAGCTATTTCGCCAGAAGAACGACTTGGTATTACACTCAGGTAAAAAAATTATATGTATTAAAATTAGTAGGCTTATCGAATACGAAAACTTCAGGGATCGTGAAATAAATATTTTATTGTAATAATTGGACTACATGTTGCCACTAGGATTAAATGTTGCTAAATAATTCGAGGCAGAATTTGCCTCCTCTGTTTTATATACTCGTATTATTGGAGTAAACCCAGTGCCGCTTGGGAAGGACGACATACTACTATCATACATACTTGCAGAATTCTGGGTAGATGCTGAAGACATTTCTTCAATATGTTCAAATTCTTCGTGCGCTATTAATTCGGCTATTTTTAGTTTTATTCGGGCTTGACGCTTTAAGGGAAGTGTTTTCACAGTCTGTGCATGTGCCAAGAAAAGTGAATCAATGGCCTCGTTCTCTTTTTTAGGTTTTTTACCTTCAAAATAATTAATGAGCTGTTGTACAGACGAAGATGGTGGTTCATAGCGTTTTCTGCTTGTTTTATATTTTGGTGTAGTTGCAGTCTGCGGGAAGGTGTGCCACTGCTGTAGTGTTCAATGAAGAAGGTGGTGCTGTCTGTGTTGCCGAGGCGTTCTGTGCATCTTCTGCATCTACATCAACATTTTCATCTTCTCCATGGCCGCGGTCTTCCAAATTTTCGGTTTCTACATTTCCAGCCCTTTCCTGATATATATTTGTGCTAAATTCGGCAGTCTCATAATGTATGACGTCAATATCTTTCACATTAGACGACGTTTTGGCAAATGCCAAAAAA